GCCGACCCAACTACACCACCACGCGCATGCCTCGCGGCGGATATGCGCAGCAGCAAGAAGGTTTCGGTCATCCCTTGAGGGTGAGTCTAGCCCTGCTCGCCAGAAAGACCCCCCCCTTCACTACAACCCATGTCTAAGCAAAAGCTTGTCGAGGAGCGAGGGGAAGAAGGGAGAGGGGTGCACAACAACAATCAGCTCCTTTTGTCCGCATTCGTACAATCACTAAGAAACTATCTCGTATCCCGTCGGTTAGAGACACTGATTGCGCCATGTGTTGAATGAAGGCTTTGCAATAAGTGGGGAAAGAAAGTCTGTGATGGATGGCTGTTGACCAATATTGAGCCTGTGCCCATGTCAGGAGAAACAATTGCATACATGCACTCTGAAGATAGATCTTGTTTTTGTGTGTGAGGAGGGCCCATCTTTCAAAGTGGAAGGAAGCACCTTGTGCTACCACCGAAAGCTTGGGAGGAAGAAAACCCACTCTTGCACACTGCTACTGCTGTCGATGCATGCATGAATATGTATAAGGTTGTGTTCCACCGCTTCCACCCCCTACGCTAGCCAGTACCAGCAAGCAGCCTGTTTCATCTCAAGCAGCGCCAAACATATCGAGGTGTCCTATTGAGTTTGCATCAATCGGAGCCAATCGAAGGGGTTTCCGGCACCACAAGAGCACCGCGCGAAAAAAATCCCACTCGCGTCAGGCAAGCATGCCGGTGATGGACAATTGCATGGAATAAACTTCCTTCTACAAACCAAGAAACGCAACAACAGGTCCTCCACCCCTGCATGTACATCGAAGATGCCTCCTCTCTTCAACCGCGCACGAACGGAGGCTTGCTTAACACACACACCGCCGTCACTCATTTACACAATCCGCGACGAAATCAACCTCGATTGCCTGGCAGTTTTGGCAAAAAACATGATCCGCACAGAATCGGCGCAACTTTGTGTTGATCCACAACCCACTGCATTAATTCCCACGCCGCACATAGGTCGCCGGCACACAACGGTGCGGGAGTGCGTGCAAGGAACAAGTCGCCGAGCGCACATCGTGCATTAGCACTCAAAATCAAGAAGACACACGTACACAGGACCTCGCGTCAACCACCCAAGCACACGATCATCGAATTCACTAAAAAAAAAAGAAAAGAGGCAATCATGTGCACTACAGACAACGGAGAGAGGGCAGACGCCCAACGCCTGGGAGAGGAGACGAGCCACTCGCACAGAGGCGTACCTGCAAAAACAATCACACAGCGCCCCGGCGGGCGCCGCAAAGGCGACTGACTGCCCTAGAGCGGGCCATTAGTCTTGGTCTCCACCCCAAGACAAGCGATGCGTTTACAGTCGACGCAATAGACAACACGGAGACGGCACGAAAACCTCAAGCCCTCACGCCTACGTGCTTGTCCCGATCCGCCTATTAGCGCGATTCACGTAGTCATCACCGGCATTCATCAGGCAGACAGATGCAAGCAATAGGATTCGACACGTGGGTGGACTCCAAAGGGACCCCTAGCATCTTTCTCTTTCGCGTAATATTGTTTGTGTCCACCCGCTCTGAAAAAATACAATCGCCCCCCTCTTCCCCTCCACAAATAAACATCCACAGCTTACGTTGTGAAATAACGTTGGAAAGTCACACACCGGGTGGCTCACCCTCGATGGGCGCTAACAAACCGTCCTCAGGAAGAGGGGAGGGTCACCTCGGCCACCAAAACACATGTCTAGTATTAACGCAGCAGTCGCCATCTAAAGACCGGAGGCTGTCGTTCAAAAACGAGGTCTTTTTGCCGGTCGAAGTGCATGGCATCAACGTTTTTCCTTGTGTGTGTGTCTCTTTCCACGGATCTGACCGAAAAATTGGCAGCTACGCGAACAGACACACACAAACGTCTTTTCATTGGTCAGCCGGTTAGCGCGGTCGATGCTAGTTATAAAAAGACACACACATACACACGAGGCCGAGCGCACCTTGACACCCGTGGCAAATCGCCCAAGAAAATCAATCACTGACCGATAGGAGGGCAAAAAAACAAATGAACAGACAGCAGCACCACCAAC